AGAAAATAGAAGCTCTGTATTCCTTGACAATAAATTAGTTTAATGCACAAAAATCAAGTGTCTAAATAATACAGTCCACATCGTTACACGAAACATGGTCCTTGGAGCCGGATTCAGTAAGCAAAGCAGTGGAACTCACGGGGAAAAATACGATTGAAGAAGTAAAAACAGGCGAAATTCACTTGGCGGATCGCAGCAAGAAAGGCAGGTTCGACACAGTGAGCCGGGTGAGTTTTCCTATTCATTTTATCCTTTTGAAGTCATTGGGTTAAATTGAGCGACTGTAACAATTCGAAGAATACGATTATCTCCGTTTAAGGTGATATTTTATCGGGTAGCAGCGAAAGCCTACTTGTGCCTATTTTGGAATTGCATGCGTAATTGGTTATTGTATTATTTGGAATCAAAAATAATATAATCATATATACCTTTAAACGAAGTAAATAAAGTTTTATTTAAGTAAATACGTGTTCAATCATGGAAACAGAAAAGTTGTGCGAATTAACAAAGCGACGAGGCGTTTTAAAATCAAAGATTACACTTTTTGAAAAACATTTGAATTCAGTTGGACAATCGATTGCGGCAAATACGACGTTAGATCCTCAGAGTGAAAGAGCAATGGCGGTTCAGTTAGAACAGCGCATGGAGAGCTTTGCAGGAATTTTGGATCAGTTTGATGAAATTCAAAACGAGATAGAATTCATAAATGAGACGGAGACCAGTGTCGAACGCGAAGAATTTGAATCGAGGTATTATACACTATTGACGAATGCTAAATTAACTATCGAGGATTTATCAAAGAACAAAAAAAGTGGTTTAAACGACGATGATACACAGTCGCAAATATCGAAAAGTTCTTCGCAGTCAGCCAAGCTGGAAAGTGTTAAGCTACCGGAAATAAAAATTCCTAAGTTCGAAGGGGAATATTATAATTGGTTAGAGTTTCGAGACATATTTAGATCTCTGATTGATAATAATGAATATATTAGTGACATTCAGAAATATCATTATTTGAGGGCATCTTTGATAGGTACAGCAGCGTAGGTCATACAATCATTGGACTTTACAGCAGACACTTATCATACGGCGTGGAAAGTTTTATGTCAACGTTTTAATAACAAACGCCTGCTTGTGCAGAATCATCTCAAAGCAATATTCAATGCAGAAAGTATAATGACAGATACAGCCCCAAAATTGAGAAATCTTTGTGACAATGTTTCAAAACATTTGAGTAGTTTGGAAAAACTTGGTGAGCCTACAGAAAAGTGGGATACATTGATTATTTACATTATGATGAACAAATTAAGCATTTATACAGCACGTGAATGGGAACGTCATCGGGCTAAGTTTGAAACGGTCTCATTAGATAAATTTAAGACATTTTTAAGTGAACGAGCAAATGTTTTAGAGACACTGGAACATAATTTCGATAAACGCGAAAAAAAGATTGTTTTTAATTCACGGCGGGAGACTCGTGGGCTACTAGGGGTTACAAACGAAGAACCGACTGAGACCAAAAAAAAAACTGGAATGTTTTCTGTGCAAAGGTAATCACTATTTATATTCGTGTGCGCAGTTTCTTGCAATGAGTATTACAGATAGAAAGTCGAATGCGGAAAAATTGCGATTATGTTGTAACTGTTTACGCCGCGGTCATAACGCAAAAGATTGTAGATGGTCGGGTTGTAAACTTTGTCAAGGAAAACATAATACGATACTTCACAATCCTGAGTTTCATAGAACTAGTAATCGTCAGGCTAATACAAGAAACAAATCTGAAATTGAAGCGTCCAATTGTAACTTTTGTTCTTCGAATAGTTCAATTCTTCCAACGGCGCAAGTTTACGTTGTGGACAATGATGGAGTTCATGTCAAAGCTCGAGTCTTTTTAGATTGCGGATCCGAGTCGAACTTTATCACAAGCTCATTTTGCGAGCGACACAATTTGCAAATGGAATCAACGAATTTACTTGTTACGGATATCAATAACAAGTTGTCTTACGCGCATAACAAATGTAATATTCGTTTGCTTTCGTTAAATGGATCTTACTCACTTCAATTGTCTTGTTTTGCCATCGATCAAATCACAGGATCATTGCCTCAGAGGTCAATAGACACTAGAAGTTTGAGTATTCCGACTGATATTACTTTAGCTGACCCTAATTACAATGTACCAGGCTCAATTGACATTTTAATAGGGGGAAATCATTTTTGGTTGCTTTTGGGCAATCGACAGCGAAGTATTGGTCCCGGTTAACCAATTCTACGAGAAACACGTTTAGGATGGATTGTGGTAGGTCCTATAGATTTTTCGTATCAAAAGTCCAGTGGTACATCTACCTGCAATTTTGGGCAAACTTTAGAAATCGACAATCAACTTAGGAAATTTTGGGAAGTTGAAGAAATTGACAATAGTTGTACCTTGTCGGGTGAAGAGTTATTATGTGAAAATCATTTTAGGGCAAATGTGAAAATATCTGAACAAGACGGTCGATTTATTGTTTCAATTCCGTTTAAGTCCTCACCAGAAAAGTTAGGGGAATCACGCGATATAGCAGTAAAGCGTTTTGTAAATTTGGAACGAAAACTAAGCAAGAACAGTGAGTTCCAGAAATTGTACTGTCAATTCATGGAAAATTACGAAAAGTTTGGTCACATGACGGATATTGAACCCAACAGAGAAGCGGTAGAGTATTACATGCCACACCACGGGGTGTTACGGGAATCCAGCTCTACAACAAAACTCAGAGTAGTTTTTAATGCCTCATCACATACTTCTACAGGTATTTCATTAAATAAATTACAAATGACTGGAGCTAAGATTCAACCAGATCTTTTTAATATCATTTTACGATTCAGGACGAAGTCCATAGTAATATCGAGTGACATCAAAATGATGTACCGACAGATTTTGATAAATAAAACCGATCGCAAATTTCAAAAAATCCTGTGGCGAAGTGGTCCAGATGAGCCATTGAAGACATATCAGTTGAATACCGTAACGTACGGGACAACTGCTGCCCCTTTTTTAGCTGTTCGGTGTTTGAAAGAGATTGCAAATGAGGTTAGGCAGGATGATCTTTTGACAGTTACGGATTCAGTAGAAAGTGCAGCGAAATTTTGTAAGAACATTACGGACTATTTCTTAAAACGAGGCTTTGAGTTACGAAAATGGAAATCTAACAATCCTAGCATTTTGAAGGAGTTAAACACAGTTGATGATGATAATTTCATAGATTTTTCAATGAGCGATAACGCTGCTACAAAAACATTAGGT